CCTGGGCCCAGCATGGCCCAGTCTGCTCCAGGAGTGGTGTCATGCATGGACCTCACACACCTGACAGGTCTCTGTGCTGCAGCCCTGACTCCAGGAGGAGCCAGGTGTCTGTCTGTCCCTGTCCCTGTTGCTGTCTCATCCCATGTGAGGGTGGGAAGGGGTTAACGGTGCCCGGGTTTGCCCCATTCCCCTGCCAAGGCCCGTTCTGGTCTGATCCCGCCCTGGACGCACCTGCCAAGGGTTAACCCGGCCCGGGCTGTTCAAACACCTCGGCTGAGGTAAGCGCTGCTTGTTTGTTCAGGTAAATAAGGAAGGAATCGGATATAATGGGCAAAGGAGGCTCTGGCTGAGCCCTGACACTCACTGCCGCCGCTGGCTTCGTCCCTCTGCTGCCCCCGGAGCCTCTCGGGGTGCCCGGTTCTCCTCGCTGTCCCCTCCCCGCCGGTGCCCACCGGGGCCGATGCGGCTCAGCCCGGCCGTGCTGCCGCGGAGCCGGCGCTGAGTGGGGCTCAGTGCTGCCGGCCGCAGCTGGGACCCTCACCTGGGGCTGGGACCCTCACCTGGGGCTGGGACCCTCACCTGGGGCCATGTCCCCCGCACACACCGTGCCCGGGGCCGCAGGGACGGCTGTGCCCAGCCTGCGCTGGCACCCATGTGGATTCTGAGCTCGCACACCCTCCAGGTAAGGCGCCCGCGCTGCCGCGACCCCCGGCTCCCCCAGCGCCCACCCAGCCCCGGGTCCTGCTCTTGGCACCGGCCTGGGGTGGACACGGGGCTGTCCTTTGTCACAATCCCACCCCACGGCACCTCCAGGTGATGTTAGGGCTGAGCAGGGACAGGTTGTCCCTCGGTGTGAGGTTCCTGGCATTTCTCTGCATGGTGTCACCCAAAATGAAACGGGATTTGCCATTTTTGTGTCTTTGCAACCTCCTCCTGCTCAAGCAGGGAGGGTGGGATGGAGCCAGGACTCCTAGGGCCGGCTCCTCCTGAGCCCACCTGGTGACAGCTGGGACACCCAGGGTGCCACCAGCCCCTGTGCCAGGCAGGGGACAATGAGCTTTGGGGCACCATGGGACAAACCAGCAGCTGGGACCCTTTATGGAGCATCCTGGGGGGCTGTTGAGGAGCTGCCAGCTCCAGGGTGTCTCTGTGAAGCTGAGGCCCTTGTCCCAGCTGCTTTCCTGCTGGGGTGGTTTTTTTGTCAGCCCTAAAGTCACTTTGGCTGTGGGTTTGGTTTTCATGGTTCTGCTCGGTTAGTGAAACACAAACACTGTGAGGGTGCCAAATCCCCACAATACCGGAGTTCTCTGGGGCTGGGAGCACGGGGGGGAAGGTGCTGCTATAAACAGGGGCCCCCTGGCCCCAGATGGGGAACACCAAGCTCTGCTGCTCACCAGGGGGACAGCAAGCACCAGGCTTTGGCTGGGTCACTGGCGGGTGCTGCCTGTCCCCTGTCACTGCTGTTTGCCTCCCTGTGCTGATGGAGAGGGCAGCCTGACCCAGGGCGTGGGGACCTCTGGGGACACCTGGTCCCCGTGCCAGCAGCCATGCAGGTAATGGCAGGAGGAGCCAGGGCACTCAGTGGTGTTGGAGCCGGTGGGGAGCTGAGAGTCCAGGCCTGCATCCCCCCAGGGGAACATCAGAGTGAGCCTGGGGCTTGTCCTGGCCCCAACCCTGTCACCACACAGCCCCCAGGCTGTCACCTGCTCTGTCACCTCCCCAGCCCCCCAGGGCTGTCCCCAGTCCCTGCCCTGGCTGTGGGGAGGTTCTGGCCAATCCTCCTTCCTCCACCCAGAGATAAGAAGGGTGCGTGGCACAGGGTTTGGCAGCAGGACGTGGCACAGCTGTCACTCTGGGGCTTGCATGGGACATGCTGGCAGGATCTCAAATTGTCACAGCCTCTGAGCACCCACCTGGGTGCCTGCTGCAGCCCTGGCTTTGCAGGGACCCCAGGGCTCTTTTCTGCTTCATCCAGGCTGCTCTGGGACAGCTCAGGGTCCCGCACATCCCCAGTTCCTCCTGGGACAGCACAGCCCAGCCCATCCCTGTCCCCGGCCGGGGGCTGGCCCTGGTCCCTCTCCCCCGCTGCCTGGGAAGGGCTTTCGGAAGTGCCCGGGGGCTTGGGATCCATCCCGGGCTCTGCGGGCAGCGCCCCTCCCGCGGCGGGGCCACCCTGCCGGTCCCACAGCGCTCCGGCACAACCTGTTCCACCGCTGATTGGATTTTAATTAACGGACCCATTGTTCGAGGGTGGGGGGTGGGTGAATTTCTTTTTTTTATTTATTTATTTTTTTCCTCTCGCTCTCAAGGGCCCATCTCAGCGTTCCACCCTGAGCCACGGTGGGCTGCACTTGCCAGGAGAGCTGGGGGTGGCACGGGGGTCCTTGTCCCCATCGTTGTCCCCCTTGGCTGTGGGGTCTGTGTGGGGCTGAGCTGTGAGCCAGAACCACCCACAGCCCCGGGCTCGGGCTGGCTTTGTGCCCTGGGAGCTGCAGGAGCCCCATCGCAGCCCCAGCACCCCATCCCAGGCAGAATTCCCCGCGGAGCAGCGGCCAGGGAGCTGCCAAGGCTGATGCAATGACCGGCTCAGCCTCGCTCAGCTCGGGCAGGGAACGGGGAGGGTTTTGGGTGCCATGCGTGCCTGTGCACCTGGGGCTGCCCCTCCAGCTCTCCTTTTCCAGGGAAATGCAAAAAGGGGTAGGGGAAGAGGGGGGAAAGGCCACCTGAAGTGGCTTCTCAGTGCAAACAGGTCCCACCCAGCCCGCGTGCCAGAGCGGGAGAAAGTCAAACAGCGGCCCCCGCCCTGGGAGTACAGCACCCTTGGTGGGGCACAGCTCAGCCTTTTGGGGACACTTCCCCAGGAATTGGGTCCCTCTGGTCCCTGCTGGGAGGAGGGGAACAGGGTGAGGGTGAAGATGGGGTTGGAGATGTCCATCCTGTGGTGTTCCTGAGGGTGGCTCCACAGCCTTGCTCCCCCATGGGTGAGGATGAACCGTGAGCTCAGAACATCCCAGAGGCTCGGGGAATGAGGCACCTGTCCCCTGCCAGACACCCCCACGGCCAGCACTGTGCAGCAGCAGGAGCTGCACAAGCTGTTACCACTTCCCTTTTGTGCTGGGAGCAGCGTGAGGCTGGATTTAGGGCTGATCTCCTAAAGCTCTTCTTTTAATCCCAAGCAAATCAAGGAGAGGTTTGGAAGCAGGCACCATCTCTCAGGGAAACTGTTTGGATGGTGGGGGCAGCCCCAGACCAGAAGAGAGTTTGGGTTCCCTCTTCTCCCTCCTCCTCTTTGCTGCAGTGCCACCAAAACCACTCAGGGTTGGGGGCTCCAGCTCCTGAACCCACAATCCCTCCCCAGTCCCCATGGGCTGAGGCTGTTCAGGTGTCCCTGGCTCTTCCATGGGTTTTTTTCCTGAGCTCTTTGGGCTATTCCAAGGATGAAATTATGAGCTTCCACCAAGTGCAGGCAATGCAGGACTTCAAACCCATATTCCTGGGAGCACTGAATCCTCAGGAGCTGCATTAACTCCCCCCTGAGGAAGGGACGCGGGGCTGGGTCCCCCTTGTCCCTCCTTCACTGACCACCCCCGTGTCTGGGGGCTGTGCTCTGCCTGGAGGAACCCTGTGGGATCTTTTCCTCTCATTTATTTTAAACTTTTTCCCCCTCAGCTGGGGTTTGGAGCAACAGGGCACCCCCTTGCCCTGGCCACTGCCCCCTGCTCCCCTTCAGGGCTGCCTGGTGTCCTGAGGGGTTTCAAACTTTTCATGCTCCTTTCCCAGCGCCAGCTCCATTGCTAAAGCTCCTTTTTCTGCTTTCAAACCACCAATTTGGGATGGTTCTTCTTCTCCCTGTAAAATGCAGTGCTGAAGGTGGAGGAGCTGGGCAGTGCCCTGGCCATACCCATCAACAGCTTCTCTTTGGCAGGGGCCTCCCTTTCCCAAAGTCTCAGGATGGTTTTTGGGGAGGTTTCTCCACGGATGGAACCATTCCCTGGTGTTGCCATGGAAATCCAGCAGGTTCATCCTCTCCTCCATGGCCTGCAGGACTCCCTGCATGCAGAGACAGATGGGGACAGGCTCATTTGGGGTAGTTTTTCTTGCTAGAGAGTGAGGGTAATTGCAATTATCCTGTCCTACAAGCAAAGTTCTCATCTGGGAGTTGGCAACAGCGACCAAGGGCTGGGTGCTGGGCTGGGTCCCTTCTGGGGATCTGGGTCTGAGGGCTGCTGTGCCTCAGGGGGAAGCAACAGAGGATGATTTCCATGCTCAGAAACGTGTCCCTGCAGCTCGAGCATCCATTGTCACCCCAGGGCTGTCCTGGGGGAGCTCCTCCAGTGTCCCCAGCTGCCTCCCACCAAGGCCTCAGCTCCACCTGGAACTGAGCTGCTGCCAGCCTGGGGTGCAGCCCCTGGGGAGACCCTGAACACCCAGACCCTAAATACACAAACTATAAACACCCAGACCCTAAATACCCAGACCCTAAATACCAGACCCTAAACACCCAGACCCTGAACACCAGACCCTGAACACCAGACCCTAAACACCCAGATCCTAAACACCCAGACCCTAAATACCAGACCCTAAACACCCAGACCCTGAACACCAGACCCTGAACACCAGACCCTAAACACCCAAACCCTAAATACCCAGACCCTAAATACCCAGACCCTAAATACACAAACTATAAACACCCAGACCCTAAACACCAGACCCTAAACACCCAGACCCTAAACAGGGGGCAGATCCTGCTCATCTCCCGAGCTCTTTCTCCCTGCTGGCTGCTGCTGCTGCTGTCCCAAACCGGGGCCAGCCCCCGCAGCCGTGGCTGACCCCGCACTGCCCCTCAGGCTGCCAGGGCCCAGTGGGGCTCTTTGCAGGGTTTTTCCCCTCTAACAGGCTTAGTCCGTCCCTTTGTGCCTGGCTGCAGGGCGGGAAGGCAGGAGCGGTGCCGGGCTGAGCTCTGCCCCTCTCTCGTCCCCCGGGCAGGTCTGGAGCCGGCGCTGAGCAGAGGGATGGGCAGTGCCAGCCCCGGGCTGCCCGCTCTGCCCCCCGGCCGCCTCTCCTGGCCGGAGCCCGCGCTGCTGCCGCCCCCGCGGGACCCCGACCCCCGGCGCTGGGGCTGCCCGGAGAGCCCCAGCCCGCCCAGCACCCCCGAGCAGCCCCTGCCAGCCTTCTGCCTGCACTACTTGGACATGCTCTACCCGGAGGACACGGCCTGGGCCACCAAGGGCGGCGGGGAACCGGCCCCGAGCAGCGGCCAGGGCGGGCGGGAGGAGGCGAGGAAGGAGCCGGAGCAATGTCCCATCATCGACAGCCAGGGCCTAGGGCTGGGCGCCGAGGGGGACCTGCAGGACAGCCTGCACCTGGAGGAGCACTCGCTGGAGCAGGTGCAGAGCATGGTGGTGGGCGAGGTGCTGAAGGACATCGAGACAGCCTGCAAGCTGCTCAACATCGCCGCAGGTGCGTGCCCCCGGGGCACAGGGATGGGTGTGTGGGTGTGGGAGCCAAAGCCTCGCTGAGTTTGGGGGGCTGCAGCCACCTGTGGGGGTCTGGGGGAGCGTGGCTGCCCCACACGGGAGGAGGGGACGGCTCCTGGCTGGCCACGCTCACCCCCTCCGCCCCCAGACCCCATGGACTGGAGCCCCGGCAATGTGCAGAAGTGGATCCTGTGGACGGAGCACCAGTACCGGCTGCCGCAGATCGGGAAGTCCTTCCAGGAGCTGTCGGGAAAGGACCTGTGTGCCATGTCCGAGGAGCAGTTCTGCCAGCGCTCCCCCGCCTGTGGCGACATCCTGCACGCCCACCTCGACATCTGGAAGTCCGGTGGGTGCCGGGGAGGGAGCCGGGGAGGGTGGGCGAGGCTGTGCTGCGGGAGATGCCCCCCTGACGCCCCGCTCCTCCCTTCCAGCCGCCTGGATGAAGGAGAAGGCTGCCCCGGGAGATGCCAGATACTGCGGTGAGTTCTGCTTTGGGCAGGTCCGGGGTGCCTGAGGGGTCCCTCCCTGTTTAATTGCAATTCCCGGAGCACTGGAGCCGCCGCTGCTGTGGGATCTGTGCGGGTCACTCCCTCTGCCCCAGAGCAGCCCCGGGGCTCTCTGCAGAACCCAGCGAAGGGGAAAAGGCTCCATCCCCTCCCTGGCCCTGTCCCACCCCCTGCACCCCTGCGGGCTGCACAGGGGCAGCACTGAGCTGCTCTCCCTGCCCCAAGACAGGGAGGGCAAAGCAAATCTTCCATACCCAGAGTCGGGCTGAGTCTGGCTGGGATCGGGGCTCCCTGCTGAGGACTCGAGCAGCTCCCTGGGGTGGGGCGCAGTCCCTTCCCTCCTCTCACCCGTCCCTTCCCGTGGCAGGAGGTGACACCGGCTGGGCCGACAGCGAGGTGGACTCGTCCTGTGCCGGCCAACCCATCCACCTCTGGCAGTTCCTCAAGGAGCTGCTGCTGAAGCCGCACAACTACGGCCGCTTCATCCGCTGGCTCAACAAGGACAAAGGTGGGCAGGCGAGCTCCAGAGGCCCCGGGGAGGGCGCTGGGGGGCTGAGGTGGGGCAGGAGATGCTGTAACCCCCCCCGTGCCCCGCTCCCCTGCCAGGCATCTTCAAGATCGAGGACTCGGCGCAGGTGGCCCGGCTGTGGGGCATCCGCAAGAACCGCCCGGCCATGAACTACGACAAGCTGAGCCGCTCCATCCGGCAGTACTACAAGAAAGGCATCATCCGCAAGCCCGACATCTCCCAGCGCCTCGTCTACCAGTTCGTCCACCCGGTGTGAGCGGCGGCGGGACCGGCTGAGCGCCGGCAGGGACGGGGGGACTTGGCTGCCTCCCTCTGCCCCGGCCACAGAGAGGCTCTGCCAGCAGCAGGACCGTGCGAGGCTTCCCCTGCCAGGACCTGCTGGCACCGGACACAGGGACCCCCTCACCTCCAGCAGGCCCTGGTGCGGGGCAAGGACCGTGCAGAGCCCTTGTCCCCCACAGGAAGGGAAGGCACCGTGCCTGGGCTTGTGCCCCCTCCTCTCCTCCCGGCCGGGTTCTGGCTGTAGGTGGCTTCACCCCAGCCATTGTTCGGGGAGGAAAAAGCCTGGGGCATGAGCTGAGACAATGACACCCCCAGGGACAGGGACACCCACAGGGACAGGGACACCCACAGCTGCTCATGGTGGGCTCCTGTCCCAATCCCTGTGGGAGCAGCCTGGCACCACCATGGGGGCTGTGCCACTGGGACCTTGGGCACCCCCTGGGACAGGTGCATCCCCCCTTTGCTGTTCACTCCAGGACATGCTCAGCTGCTCCCCTCCACAGGGACTCGGGGCTGCAAACAGGAGTTCTGCAATGGGAGCAGCTGTAAATGTGGATGTGGGGCTGTGCATGGTGGGGATCCCCAAGCTGGGTCCCCCATCCTCGTGCACGGGGCCACCAGAGTCCTCCTAAGCCCCCAGGTTCTGTGCCCTGGCTCAAAACTCTTCCCTTGATTCAGATTTTACTTGGACTACCTGATTCTGGAGTTTGGGGAAATGGAGATGGCAGCTTTGCCATTTCCCTCTGGACAATAAATCCAGAGTGTGATCCGTCCAGGCTGGACTGGGGCAGAGAACTGGGAATTGCTTCACCTGCTCATTGCACCAGAGTCAGAGTTACCTGGTAATGTTGATCTTTTATATTATAGGCTTTTTTTATTTGGTTATTTGCTTTTCTGTTTTGGCTGGTGATGAGTTGTGGTTTAGGTTCAAATGCCAAGGGTGACCTGGGCTTCCAGGGATGTTCTGTGGAAGCTTAAAAGGAAAAAAGCACCTGGTTCTTGGTCTCTTGATTTTTTCCTTAACAAATCCGCCGGTGCCAGCTACTGCCTTTGCTTTCTGTTCTTGCTCCGTGCTGCTCCCATAGCAGCAGATCCAGACAGCCCTGCTCCCATCCTGGCAGGAGGAATGGAGGGCAGCCAGGAGCAGGGGAGGGAGGAAAACTGCCTTGGCCTTTGGAAAAGGGAGTGGAAAAGCAAAAAAAAATTGTAGGGAAAAAAAAAAAAGGCAAACTGGTGTCTTGTGATTTGCTGGGTGCACCCTGACGGCAGCCAGTGAGGGGGCACTGTGAGGACGGGCTGGGGGTGCCAGTGGTGCCCCAAATCCTGTGTCCCCCCACCCTGGCAGGGTGAGGGAGGGCAGCAGGTGACATCCCCCTGCTTTCACAGGCTCAGGAGAGCGCTGGGTCGGGGCTGGTGCCTGAAGAGCCCCCAAACCTGCATCCCCTCGAGCCTTGCCAAGGGTGTCCCAGGGCTTTGTCCTGCAGTGGCACAGGAGTCCCCAAAGGCAGTGGCTGCTCCCCAACAATGCATCCCCATCCTGCTGCACCCCAACACCTTGGGGAGGGGGTGTCACTACCTGGGGGTCCACAACCACCTCAGCCACCCCCCCGGGGGTGGGACAGACGCACAGCAAAGGAGACCCCAGAGCCAAGGACGCTGACAGAGCTCGGTTATTTTCTCTTGCTGCTTTTTGTTGTTGTATCCACGGAAATACAATCACGAGAGATATATATATTATATATATACTTCTTAAATTACACAATCAATGTACAAAAACCGGGGTGCATTGCTGAGACAGGTGGTTGGTTGGGTCTTTTCTGACTTTGTGGGTTTTTTTTCCAGTACCTGGCAGGGGCTGGATGGCTCCCGCCCACCGTGCCCAGCACACGGTGCCTCCCCTGCATCCACGAGAACACGGGATCCCTGGGGCCAAAAAATTCACGAACCAACGGAGGGGGCAGGAAAGGAGCAGGAGGAGCGTGCGGGAAGCCGATGGCATTGATGCTGCTAAGGGTGATGGTATGGAAAGAAATGAGAGATGATCTGTAGGGAAGAGCTGGGGATGGCAAACGCGCCCGAGGCAGGGAGTGGGGTGGTGGCAGCAGCCATGGGAGCTGTGGGGTTGGGGACAGAGCCCAGGGGAGGAGGGGTAGAGCTCGGTGGGGACAAGCAAAGGGCAGAGCCTGTGGCCACTCCCTGCCTTGGCGTGTCTTGATTTCGGCTGTCTTGGCCAGGCAGCTGCTCTGCCTGGGCTGCGTCCTGAGCTCTCCTCCTGAGCTGCAGCTCCTGCAAGGCTGGATGATGCTCATCCCCCGTCCCTGCTCTGCTCCTGCCTCTCTTCACGAAGGGGAGGATGGGGACAGTCCCCAGCAGCGCCCAGTCCTCGCTATCCCAGGCTGGGCATGAAGGTGCTTCCAGCAGCACCGGGCCCTGGTGGGTCCTGCTCCGGACAGCGCTGGATTTTAGGGCCATCTCACCTGGATCTGGTGTGCGTTGGATACCTGCCCACCCGAAGGGCGATGCTGCTCCCTGCAGGCAGCACAGACTGGGCATCGGCTCGGGAGCCTCCGCCCGCTCCGGTGTGCTGAGAGCCCAGCAGGAGGAGGAGGAGGAGGAGGAGGAAGCTGAGGAGATGCCAGCAAGCTCCATGGCGGGGCTGGTCCCACCTCACCTGGGCATCTCAAGGATGGCCACGGGGCTGAAGGGGGCATTCACCCCCTTCCTCGGGGCGGGAGGATGAACTGGGGAGAACATGGAAACACCAAAAAAAAAAAAAAAACCAACGGAGTCAGACTCCATTCCCTCTTGGTTTTCTGGGATGAATTTGGTTGGTCCCAGGAGCTTCGGCGCCGTGCGTTTCGGAACAGTTCCAGCCAATCAGAAGGCGGCTCATGATTTCAGTATCTTTAAAAACCAACCAATCAGGAGCTCTCACTGGTTGGGCTTTAAGATCTTGAGGTATCGGCTTTTCGCTCAGAAAAAAAAAAAATTCAACTAACGTAGACGAACGGACAACGTCATCTTTCGCTTCACGTTATCTTAGAAGAAAGCGACTATGCAAAATACTCTTCAGAGACAACTCTTAAAAAAATAAAAGCTTGGTCGGAAAATATGTCTGAATCTCTAAGGGTGAGGAGTGAAGGACCAGACGGCAGAATGGCTGGTTGGCTGGTGGAGAGATGGAGACAACGGAGGGTGGATTTATCTGCTGACGGTGACGAGGAGCACACCACAAGACTTAGATTGCCTCCACGTAGTTGGCGGGGTACAGCCCCAGCTGCCCGTTGTCCAAGCGCCCTTTGCACCACCCCTGCTCGTCTTCCTCACCGAGTTTGGTTAGTTCATCACCTGGAGAGGAAGGTGGAAGGGGAGAGCTCATTGCAGGTGCTGGAAATTCTCCCACCCCCTTTTTCTCCCTAGGATGGAGCTGCTGGGGGTTTGCAGGAATTATCCTGAGCACACCAGTTTGTAGGATAGAAAGGCAAAGGGTGACTCATGAGCCCTCACGTGCCCTGTCCCTTCCCATTGCTCCTGCCCCTTCTCTCTTTGGGCTCAGCTTCTGCCTTTCCCTTTCTGACTCCTCAACTCTTTGAAGGCCTGGGCCAACCCACAAATTATTTGAGGGATTTCACATGCACACCTCCAGCAGATGAGCCCCATCCTACCTGGCACTGGCAAGGGACCGTACCTGCTTTGAAGCTGAGCTCATCCTGCTCCTGCCCGTCGTAGTCGTACAGAGCCCGCACCCTCACGCCTTTCCCCGCCGACTCCTCGTCGAAGGGGTTGGCGCCGCCGTTGGCCTCGCTGGTGTTGAAGGAGTTGCTGCCCTCGTCATCGGACCATTCGGCGCTGTAGGTCTGCCCGCGGTCGTGGCTGCTCACGCTGGGAGGAGAGGGAGGGGTGGCTGTCACCAAGGACATCCTGCACCCCCAAATGCTTGCACAGGCCGTGCCTCTCACAGGCTGTGCCTTTCATAGGCTGTGCCTCTCCTCTCCCCTTCACACCAGCCCTCACCTCCCACGCTCGCCCGCCTGAGCTCCCGTGTCGCCCGCGCTGCTGGCGTTGGTCAGGGCCACCCCCTCGCCCTTCTTCTGCTTCTCCTTCCGCGTTATCGTGTGCGTCAGGTCTGGGTTCCACTCCTGCAAGCACAGAGTGACCAAGCCCTGAGTGCCCGGCTGCCCTGCAGAGCTGCCAGCACCCAGGCAGGGCGCCCAGCCTCACCTCAAACTGGGGCCAGTTCATGGGCATGCCGGGGCCGCTGGTGCTGCGGAACCACCGCAGGTCCTCCTGCGCGTCCGACATGCGGATGGTCTGCTCCAGCTCCCGGTACACGTTGGCATAGCTGTGGGGAGAGATGTGTTTAGGGGGCTGTGGGTCAGGGTGGAGCCCTGGGGGCAGCGTGGGACAGGGACAGGCCCAGGCTGTGTCACCTGGGGACAGGCTGTGGGTCCTCCAAGCCACCAGGGGGTGCCAGGTGCCCTCACAGCCTCCTGCCACTCTGGCACCTCTTGGTGACCATCATGGCCAGAATCTGCTGCCCCTACCTGCTGCTCTCGGCCAGGTTCAGGTGCCTCTTGATGTCCAGCAGCATCTCCTTGAGGAAGTTGAGCCTCTTCTCCTCGAACTGCTGGCACTGCTCGAAGACCTGCTCCATGCTCTCGATGTACTGTGGGGTGCACTTGTTCAGCTCGTCCAGCACCTTCTCGTACTTCTCCTGAGTCTGCAAAAACACAGGAGGGACCCTGGTAGTACCTTGAGCACCTCAGAGGCTCTTTCAGGGTGCTGAGAGGTCTGGTTTGGGAGTCACCAGAGCTGGGGAGCCCAAACTGAGCCAGAAGCTTCAGTGAGTGGAATCAGCCCCCAAAAGTGGGGTAAATCCCTGCTCACATTCCCCTGAGCACTGCCTGCACGTCCTTATCCCCCAGGAGCACAGGGGTGGGAAAATGGGAACTGATGGTGCAGAAAGGGATGTTGTGGCCATCTCCACTGGTTTCCCTTGCCCAATGCCCCATGTGTCCAGCACAGGGCAGTGCTTCACACCTTTTGCACATCTTGCTTGCACTTTTCCACTTTGTCCTGGAGCTTCTTCTGCTGCTCAGGAGTGTTGGACTGATCCGCCTTGCTGTTGGCTTCGCGGGTCATGGCCAGCTTCTCCTCCTTGCATGCCAGGTGATAGGCTTTCTTGGCTGTCTCCAGCTGTGGGGAGGACAGGGAAGGGACATCAGAGTAGGAGTCACAGCCCCCTGCCAACCCCTCTGCCTGTGGGGAGGTGCCACGTGTCTCTCCCAGCCTGGACTGGGGACACAGTGTTGGACTTGGGGACACAGGGTTTCCCCAGGACACTCTGTGCTTCTCTCACCTCCTTGAGCTTCTTGGCCCAGGGCTTCTGGGCTTTCCGGAAGCCATCCTCAGCCTCCTTGGCCTCCTTGAAGCCCCCCATGATCTGCTTGTGGTAGGCGTCCTTCTGCCAGTTCTTGACCTTCTCGAAGTCATCATTCAGGAGGCTGTTCTTCACCTCCTGGTGCAGCTCGCTCACCTTGTCCGCCTCCGTCATGATCGCGGCCCAGGCCTTCTCCAGGCTGCCATACTGGGGACCTGGGGGCCGAGGGGACACCTGGGGGTCACCCCACTGCCCTCACCCCCTCCATTTCTGCCAGGTGAAGCTGTGATTGCACACCCAGGTGTTCTGGGGAAAGCCTCCCATGGGGAAGCTGTGGTACCTTTCTCGATGAGCTGCCTCCACCGCTTGGACCAGTCGGTGAGCTGCTGGGCGTAGGACTTCTCGATCTTGGCCCGCTCGTGCACGCAGTTCATGAGGTCGTTGCAGAGCCGGTGTCCATCGTCGATCCGCTTCACCGTGCGCTTGTAGTTCCCCACCTGGCATGGCCACGGGGACAGGCAGCTGTGGGGGCTGTGGCCACCCCGCCCGGCTCAGCCCCAGCTGCGCCGGGGTGGCTACAGGGGAAGCACCAGGCAATTTGGGGGTGCAGGGGTGGAGCTTTGGGTTGGGGCTGCTCAAGCCCAACTCCCTCCAACCCCTCTGTCACTCAGGGACAGCCAAGATTGAGACCTTGGGCAGAGCCACCACAGCAGGGATGCTCTCAGGCAGAGGAGAGAGGGCAGCCCCCAGGCCAGGGGACACCGTGGGGTGCAGTGACAGTGGCAGTGGGGTCTGTGGGAGGAGAGGATGGCCGGGACTCACTCACCTCCCAGAAGCTGTCGGTTGTCTCCTCGGCGGCCGATGC